TAATATCCCCTCTAAGCTCAACAGTCTTCCATGGCTCCCAATGGGTCTAGATGTTAAGCCCAAATTCTCTAGCTTGATCTTCACGGCCTGCCATATTTTGATCTCAGGCTATCTTTCAAGCTTTGTCTCTTTCTACCCACTCCACACATCCTACCACTGCTCACTACTGCCCAGGGTCTCTGCTCAGAACTTATATTCAAATGAAGAGAGAGACCATGAACAAGAAAGCCCATGTCTAAACAAGATCATTTCAAATAATTACCAGCACGGGACTGTATAAAAAGCAGATTGGTGATAGTGTCTGGGGCAGGAAGTGCACTCCCATACCTCGAGTAGTCAGGAAGGGCCTTTCTGAGAAAGTGACATATGAGCTGAGATCTGAGGAAGAGGAGTCAGTCTTGCAAAAATCTGGGGGAAGAACATTTCAGGCTGAGGAAGGGCATATATATATATGTGTGTGTGTGTGTGTGTGTGTGTGTGTGTCTAGACAAACACACACACACACACACACAAAGGTCTTGAGACAGGAACAAGCTTAGTGTATCAGATGAAAAGAAATATGGTAGGGTTGCTGAAGCTTAGTCAAAGCAGTGTATTGGGTGAGACTGGAGAGATAGGCAAGTGAGATCATGTAGGGTCCTGTGGCCCATGATAAGGAGTTTAGATTTTATTCCCCTCGAGATGGGAAGCTATTGGAGGGTTTTAGCTGGGTAGAGACATGATCTGATTTGCATCGTTAAAAGATGGCTCTGGGTGGATTATGTGTGAAGAAGGGGTAGGCAAGATTGGAAGCAGAGAGACCAGTTAGGAGGCCATGGCAGTGGTTCAGGGGAGAGCTGATGATGGCCTGGTCTAGATGGTGACAGTGGAGGTGGGAGACATTGTCAGATTCTAGAGGTATTTTGAGTGATTTCTGTTCATGTGTTTTCTTCCCAACCAGCCCAGGAGCACCTTAAGGGTAGATACCCTGTCTGAGGGATCTTTGGATTCCCACCCTATACTCTTAAGCAGTTAGTCTAATAGGTGCTCAGTGTTTAGTGAAAGATCTCTGTGATCCTCCACAGAGAATGTGACAGGAGAGAATAGTAGGTAGAACTTCGGCCTGGGGCAGAAATTCTGGGTCTTCTTTCTTTTTATTCTGATGCATTTCTCCCTTTTTCCTTCTTTATCTTCCCATCTTCTAAAGGAATCTAAAAATATTTTGGGAGGGAAGGAAAAGCAGGAATTATGAGCTCCTCAGGGGTGCAAGAAACTATGCTCAGCTTTCACATATATTAGTTCATTTAAGTTAATTTATTTGCTCTTTATAACAATATCTAATCCTAACCCTTTATTTTAGAGATAAGCAGATTAGAAACCCAAAAAGGAAAAGGGACTTTATGAAAGGGAAAGTTGTCATAGCACAAAATATGCATTATTTGGAGTCCTATGTAAGTCCTTCCTCCCACTTCACATCTGAATACTGTTTATTCATATCAATTATGCTAAGGTCTTTTTCAGCCTCTTGTTGATTGTTAGTATTATGCAATGCAAATAAATTTCATAGTGAAATGAGATCTTGAAAAAGATTCAGGATTTGGTGAAGTCAATGAAACTGATGTTGAAGACCATCTCTAATGTCATGCAAAGTCCTTGGTAAACAGAGATTTGGCAGAGAGACCAGTTAACACTGGCAGAAGAGTAAACTGATGTAGGTAATAACAGGATCAAGGCTTCAAAGAGTATGATTCAACTCTCAAAGGATTACAAGAGGTCCTTGGGATAACTGAAGGAGTTCTCTGATTTTGGAAAAACAAAACTCTGTTTACGTTGCGTGGCAAAAGTCAGTATTATGTTCTCATGTACTTTGGTCAGGAAAATTATGTTATTCCAGTTCTTGATTCATTTTTTGTTCATTCTAAGGATTCGTGCATATTTGCACTAATATGCACAAAGTAATATGCATATGTGCATATCAATTACACTTTTTAAGTTTAAACAAAAATACTTTACAATTTCTTCAATTTTATTTCTCAAGATAACGGCCCAACAAACTCTTTTCCCTCACTCTACTATGAAATGTTGGTCTCCACTTCAAGTGGAATCAAGTAAGTGACCTTTTTCTAGTACCACTTATCCTCAAATAACAAGGACTTCATGTAGCCTCAGCCTTCTTTTCACCTTGTGATTGGCAAGCTTGGCTGCACATTAGAGTCACTTGTACAGTGTGTTCAACAATACCAGAGCTGGGAGCCCAACCTAGACTAATTAAACCAAAATCTCTCCTGGTAGGGCCAGAGAAAAATCTCTCCAGGTGATTGTGTGGCACTGCCAGGGTTGTGAGCCACTGCTATCCCCCTGCCTTGTACATGCTGAGGCTAAAGAGACAGAGGCTGTCTGCACTTGGACTGGCCTGAAGGGAGGGCACCAGGGCCTGGACCCAAGTGGAAGGGGTCACTCAGAGGGGCAGCTGCAGGGCAATATCCAGGAGTCAAAGGGCAATGTGTGGCTGGTAGGGTTGCTTTCTTGGCACAGCCATTGTGCCCTTTACTCTGTTAGCACTGTGGGTGTGTAGCCACCTCCAATCCCTTGCCTCTTTTTCCTATGCCCAAGGCCAAGAAAGCTGGCTCTCCTTATGGATATGTGATGAGACAAAAACTCACGTTTTTTTTTTTAGATCTCTTAAAACATTTGATTGATGTTAATTTAGATAGAATGCACATAGTTTGAGTGTACAGTTTGATGAATTTTTAAAATGTATACCCCTATGTAACCAATGTTCAAATCAAGATATTTTCAAATCCTCAGAAAGTTCTCTCATGCCCCTTCTCAGTAGATCCAATTCCCTCCCACAAGAAAACAATTGACTTGTTTCCTTTAGCCTAATTTTTCCATTTCTAGAAAATCATTTGAAAGGAATCATTTTTGTGTATATGTCTTATTTTACTCAACATAATATTTTAGAATTTATCCATATCACTGCATGTGTCAAGTTTCTTTTTATTTCTGAATAATTCCCTTGTATGAATAGTACACAATTGCTTTATCTGATTACGTGTTGATGAATTTGTATTTTTTTTTCAGTTAACCACTATTATTAATGCTACTACTGTGAATATTCTTTTACAAACTTTTTGTGGGTACACATTTTCATTTCATTATCATATGGCAAAAACTCACATGTTTTATAGTAAGCATATTATGGTTGCTGAACACTAAGATCATGTTATCTTGTGGATCTATAATGTGTTTGTCTTTTACTGCTGTGTTCCCAGCACCCAGCACAGTGCTTGACATATAGAAATTGCTCAGTAGGTATTCTTGGAATGAATGAACAACCAAGGTGAATATAGGCAGGATGTAATAAGTACCACAATTTAGGTGCAAAGTATTGTAGTACAGAAGAGAACAAGATAGTTCTCAGCTCAGGAGAGAGGGATTGTGGAAGTCTTCATGGCAGAGGTGGCATCTGAGCTGGACTTTGAACACTATGACAGAGATGGAGAGAAAGCATTCTAGGCAGAAGAAACAATGTGAGCAAAGGGTAGGACATGAAAAGGTGCAGAGCTCATTCAGTGAACAGCCACTAGTGAAAGGTGGCTGGGACAGGAGTGCTGGTAGCCTAAATGGAAGATCAGACTAGTAGGATAGGGTCAGAATATAAAGAGCCTTGAAAGTCATGCTAAGAAGTTTACACTTGGTTTTATGGGCAATGTGGAGCCATCTAATGTTTTTGATCACAGGTGTAATATATTCACTTTAGGAAGATCAGCAGTTCTTTCACAGAATATTTAGGTAGTGCCTTCTAAGTGCATAAGCAAGCTGTGCTAGCCAGGGAGGTAGATTAAAGTCAGAGTAACTGAACAAAAGATCATTTGGTAGGCCATTGCTGTGGTTCAACCAGAGCTACTGAGGGCCCAAAGCGGCTGGGTGGGATTAGGGGTGAAAAGAAGGGGAAGGATTTGGAGGGAACGTTTTACAGAGGTAGGAATGACAGAACTTGGTGACTATTTTAGGTGGAGATGAAGGGAAGAGAAGAAAGATTGAGGGACCAATGACAATAACGAGTATTTGCATGCTCCTCTGTGCCATCTTGTGCACAGTGCTTTCTATACATCATGTAATTCTCACAAGAACCCTTTTAATGGATGAACTTACTAAGGCTCAAAGAAGCCAAGGAACTTTTATAAAGTCATACAAGTAGGAGATGATGGTGCTGGATTTTGAACTCATACATACTGGCTCCAGACACCTCCCCCTAACCTCCACTTTATGCTGATTTCACAGGAGTTGGGGGACTTGGGTTTTCTTGGCTAAGAAATTCATCAGCTCAGGGAGGACACCAGATTCCCTCCTAACCCACATTCTGCCTTCCCCCTCTTATGGGTAGAGATGGTGGTGATGGAGTGCCGCTCCTGCAGGGGCTCTTCTCCAGTGCCTTTCCCTCCTCTTGTGGGGAAATGGGCATGGGGAAGCAGTGCAGGAGAGATGAGCCTGGTAGGCTAGAACCAAAAGCTGCCACAAAGGTGGAAAACTGGGTAAGCCCCAGGCCACATGCAGCCTGCACACGTGTTGAGCCCACACAGAGGTTTGTTTGTCTTTTTGACTTGAGCAAACATTTAGAAATTAGAGGGCTTCACATACAAATCCTGTCCTGACTTCCCTTGAAGAATGAGAAGATCTGGCAACATTGGGCCCACATTCCTACAAGAGAATCTGGGTTTGAGCTACCTCCTGCAAATGGCACACACTAGCACTTGTCACTGCTCACAACTTTGGAGTCTGCATTTCACCCCAGCCCAGAGCACTTCACTCATCACACTTAGCTGCCTGTTCCCTGCAGGGGTTTAGTTTGTGAGTCCTTGTCTGGAATGGTCTACTGCAGTTTCCCCTTTTTTTGGCAAGACTTGAGCCAGCAAGGGGCAGGGCACAGAATCTGCATCCTCTTCTCCCACCTCCTCCCCAAGCCATAGGCCACACATGACTACAGAAGAAAACCAGGAAGGGAGGGTTATCATCAAGTCTTACTATTTATTTCTTTATGGGGTTAAACAAGAGCAGAGAGGCCTCTGCCCCACAATGCAACAAAACAGAGAGCAGTACACATACAGAGACTCTCACTGAAACACAGAGGCAGGGAAAGGGGCACAACTGAATCATAGCCAGGGGAGGGAGGAAGGGATAAGAACTACTAGGAATCCAGCTTGGAGACTCAGTCATAGGAACTAGTGCAAGAAAGTCCTACTCATGAAGCACAGTGTAGAAAATGGCATAAGAAAGCTGCCCAGCTCTGCTGCCTGTGATGGAGGGCAGGGGCAGCTGGAGAGGTGGTGGAAGGTCTGGGAAGTGGGGCGGAGAGGGACAGTCAAATGACTTTGAGGTGGAGTGAGGTGCCCCTTTCCCCTGCCACTGGGCAAGGCCCTGGGCTGGTCTGAGCCAGGGGTCTCCTGGGCACTTGGTGAAGGGGAAGAGAAGATGGGAGTCTCCATTCCCTGGGTCCATTCCTTGGGGCGCTAAGGTCCCCCTTTCCTTTCTGGTCCCTTTCCCCTCCTGAGAGTGCAAGAGCTAGAAGGCAGTATGTAGGATCTCTCATGTCTACATAAGCATCTCTGGAAAGAAGCCAGTACCTCTTCCCTTCCCCAGCTGAAAAGAGCACTCTAAGGATAGGGTATGTGGCTAGGCTCGAAGTGCTGAGGGCCAAACAGGGAATGTGTGGACAGGCATGGGAGTGAGGACAGGGGGCATACTGTGAGAAAAGAGAAAACTGGCTGGAAGAACTCCCCAGTCTTACAAAGCCTATTTGGGACCCAGCTGAGGCTCTCAAATGATTCCCTCTCTACTAGGGAGGCCCCCCCATTTATCCCCAGCTAACCAATTCCAGCTGTCCCCTCCCTCTCTCCTTCTTGCATACACATAGTGCAACTCCAGGCACACCCCTCCCCTTAACTCATGGGCCTCACAGCCTAGGACACAGGCCCTTCTGGCACTGAAAGCCCCTTGGCCTGTCCCAGAACATAGTTTTGGCTCCCTTTCTTCTCTGCTCCTGTTGGCTTTTAGAGGTCCCAGGCAATGTGGCCTCCTGCTCCCAGGAGATCAGCACAAGGCTAATGGCCCCCCAGGGGCTCTCAATGCCTTTCATCTAGCCCTCTGGGCTGACTCAACAGTTCAAGTCTCTCAGCCATTGGACAACAGCACATTATCTTTATCCAACAGGTCCTCTTGCCAGTCTCTGGACTTTCCCCAGCAATGGGCAGGGGTGGCTGGATCAGGGGGGACCCACTACAGGGTGAGGAGTCTGGTGGTTGTTCCATAATTGGGGTAGTAACCCATGGGGTCGGGGATAGGAAGTGATGAATACTCTTTGGTAGGCTGGGGATAGGGACAGGGTGGGGACAGGGAAGGCTCATCTCTGGAAAGCCCTGGGGCAATGCCACCAGGTTCTCCGTCATGGAGGCCTGGGCTACAACAAAATGGGGGAGTCTGGGGACCCAGGCCAGGCCTGACCCACTTGGGCTTCAGTCCCCCCTCCCCATGGAGATCGGAAATGGGAACGTCTTTGGCCCCAAGGCCAAGATCTCCAGGGTGAGTGGCGCTTGGGAGTATGTGCACCTTCTGTAAGATGGGGCCCTTCACACAGTGGCTAACTGACCACGGGCCCTCTGCCTTCTGTTTTGAGGTCCAACAAGCCAGTTCCTGTGCTCTTTCCACAGAGGGTTCCTTATGCAACCCTTTCTGATTTGGGGAGCTGTCCCCGAGCCTACCTCAACACTGATCACCCACAGCCCCAAAGCCAGGTGGCAATAGTCCATGAGGCCTTCTCTCCAAGCTCTCTGCCCACATCTCTCCCTTCCTCTCCCTCTTCTCTATCTCTTACTCTCTCTTGCCACCTATTTTGCTCTCCTTTCTAGTCCCTCATTGCCTAGGATGTTGGGGGCATAGCTTAACTGGGGCCCCGACCTAGCTGCGACTATGCGCACCTCGTCTCCCAGCCTGGCACATCACTGTGGTGGCCCCATGTGGGGCAAGGTGTGCTGGAGTGGGAGGAGGGCTGCTGCACCATCTGCCGTGGCCTGTAGGGTTGTGGGCAGGAGGGAATTAAGGATTGTGGCAACAAAGGGAATGCAGAAGGGAGAAAGAGCTTCTCCCCTCTGTGCCCCCCAGCATTCCCCGCAGGGCCAAGGCTGGGTGAGCGGCCTACTTCCCTAGGGCCAGGGCTCTCAGCAGGCCTGGGCATTTCCAGCCCCTACTGCCCTCCATTTTTTGCTGAGCTCCACAAATGGGCGCCTGGGGTGGGGGTGCCTGCCACTCCTGCCTTTTTTTCCTGGATGAGTTTGGCAGCTCCCTGGGGGCCCTCTGGCCATTCTGTTGGGGCTGCTTTTGGGGTGGGGTAGGTTGGAGGTGATTTGTGGTCCCCCATTTATTCCTGCCCCCAACCTGGTCCTACACCTCCCATTGTGGGGGGGCCTGGAGCTGATGTCAGTATGTGGTGGAAGTCTGTCCTCCCTCCCAGCTGTCACTCTTCCCGAGTCAGGCCCTCATCTAGGGCAGGCAGTGCCTCCAGCCCCAGTCTCCCACCCTCCTGGTTGCTGGAAAAGGACACCATGGTATGGAGAAGTATGAGAACAAAGACATAGAGCCGGATCCTGCTGGGACTGAGGCGGGAGCCCCCAGAAACCGGCAGCAGGGAGGGCTTGTGGCTGATGCGGCCTGGGGGGTCATGCCGAGGGTGGTAGTGGTGGTACTGTTGGTGGTAGTGGTGGAAATAGGAATGGTGGAATTGCTGGTGGTGGGTTTTGGGGGCCTCAGACTCCTTGAACTTCTTCTCCGATTCACAGGAGACCCACTTCACGTCACAGCACTTGGTTTCCGGCCGCTTTGGCGAAGTATCCAGCAACCCTGCCAATGGATAAGGAAGGTGTGGTGGGGTGCTAAAGGGGATGATGGCTGTGCCTTTCCTAGAGAGGAGACTTCTAATGCTGGGATGCTCTGGTAGCCGTGCCCAAGACTCCTTGCCTCCTGCCCCTTAGCACCTTCCTTTTCTGGACATTTCTCTCCCAAAGACCCCAGACAGTTTCTCTGGGATGACTCCCAGTCTGGGCATGTTCTAGAGAGAGATGACCACTTTGCTCTTTGCCCCTATCCCAACCTGGGGACCTTGCTGACCACTGCTTCAGCCACTAACCTTTTCCTATCCTTTCCTCCCTGCTGTCCTCCCTGACCCAGCAGCTCCGACCTGGGGCCTGCCCTGGCCCCCCAGCCTCCTGGCCTCCTCCCCTCCTCCCCAGTGCCTTGCCTTTACCTGCACAGATAAAGCCAGGGAGCCCTCCGTACACCATTTCCTCATTGTCAGGGAGTATAAAGGGGCACCGGGTCTGCACCTCCAGGCAGTATTGCTTGCAGGGCACCCAGCGTTGGCATTCCTGCTGGGTCACGCTGAAGTATTCTGAGCACAGCCAGGCCTTGTAGACAGCCTGTGGGGAGAGGAAAGAGTGTCAGCCCAGGTGCCAGCCCCTTCCCGCCACAGGGGAAAGGGATGAGGAGGGGTGTACTTGGAGTCTATGGGGTGCGGGAGGGTGCGTACTTGCCAACCCCACCTCGGTATCCAGGGGGTGGAGAAGAAGGGTTTGGGTCAAGACCACTACATTGTACCCTAAGATCTCCCATCTCATAGCTAGGACCCCTGAGTGCCACAATCTGCAGTCATCCAAGACTTAGAATTTGTTTGTTGGTAATTGTAAAATTACTCCTATGTCAGAGCTGGAAGAGGCATTACCAATCTTCCCATACAAGCCTAGCATTTGACAGTTGGCCCTAAGAGGTGTCCTGGCTTGCCTGAGGTCACCTATCATGAGGAAGGTAAATTTCAGTTAAATTCAATTTAGCAAACATTTCTTTGGCCAATGGTGTTAAGTTTCTAAATTCATGAAAGAGGTGGAGAGAATCCTTGCTCTACCTCATTAGGATATTGGATGGCTCAAATAATATGACACAGGAAAATGTTTTGTAAACTCTAAAGTGCAACTCAAATGTGGACGGTTATTTTTTTCAAAAACAGGAATCTGCCTTACCAGGCACGACATGTGCCTTTCAAGCTCTATTCATCCATGTTCTGTTCTTCTGGCTTCAGCCCTGGTGTGGAGCAGACACCACCTTTCGTTTGGAAACTTTGCTTGCAGTTTCACTTCATGGGCATGCTTCTGGCCCACTCCTCCTGGGCATTGGATCCTAGCTCAGAAAGATTCCCTGCTCAATACTCTTTGGCTACCATCAAGCCCAGAGTTTATCAATGGCAACACTACTGATATCTTGGACCTGATCGTTCTTTGTAATAAAGACTGTCTTGTGCATTATAGGACATTGAGCAACACCCTTTGCCTTTACCCAGTAGTTGCCAATTGAGTCTTCCCCTTCCCCCAGTTGTGACAACCAAGAAAATGTCCCCAGCCATTCCCAAAGGTCCCTGAGGAGCAAAATCATCTCCTTTTGGGAATCAAAAAAGATCTAGCTCCTTGCTACTGAAAGTGTGGGCCCAAACCAGCAATATTAGCATTATCTAAGAGCTCGTGAGAAGTAGGGAGTCCCAGACCCTACCCCACCCAGCCACATCAGTGCCTGCATTTTAACAGGATGCCCAGGATTTAACAGGATGCTCACACACTGGCTTCAGGCCCTCCCCACATGCAGTCCTTGTATCTTTGGGGGCACCTTCTCATAGTTGCTCCTTACAGCAATGAGTATCAGACTTCAGTGTGCCTCATAATACCCTGGGGGGCGTGTAAAATATTCAGATGGCCCCCTCTAACTCAGCTTCAAGAGAAGACTGATGTGGGCTCAGAATCTGTGTTTTCAAAAAGGACCCAGGGCACTGAGCTGCTGAAGACCTTTCAGCCACACTCTGAACAACATGATCACAGATTCTCACACTAATTTAAACATTTACACTAAAATACAAATAACTACACCAGGAACATTTACTTTGGCAATGTAATCCCATACTGGCCTTTGTCAAAGAAGGGGTGGGGTAGAGATGGTGCATGGTAGGGGATGGCGGGGCAAATCAAGGCCCTGAGGAAGAAAGTGTTGTTTAGGGCTTGGATATCTCACAGGTATTTCAAACCTAGCATTCTCTAAATCTTCAAATGAAGTTCTTGATTGTTTTTAACTCCAAAAATCTTCAAATGAAGTTCTTGATTGTTTTTAACTCCAAATCTGCCCTCACCCCCAAGTCTTGACCATTTTAGTCAAGTGCTACAACCATCCTCCTGGGTGTTCAAACCAGAATCCTAGGAGTCAGCCTTCATTTCTCTCTTTCCTTGCATCCTCAAATACAGTCCATCAGCAAGGCACACCAATTCTCACCCCACTTCCACAACTTAGGCCACTGTCTCCTATCTGGACCCCATGGCTTCACTCTTGCTCTTTTGAATCCATTGTTCACACAGGAGAAAGGGCCATCTCAAAACGCCATCTGGTCATGTTACTCCCTTGCTTCAAAACCTTGAGTGCATTTACAATAAAACCCAGACTTTGGACCATAGACTTCAAGCTCCTGCATAACCTGGCCCCTGTCTGTCTCTCCAACTTCATTGTCTAGCTGTCCCTTCAAGCCCATCATGCTCTACATGCAGAGCTTTTCTTGCTTCTCCTTGAATATACCCTACTTCTTCCCACCTTGGGGCCTTGGCACACACAGTTCTCTTGGCCTGGAATGTTCTTCCCCCCACTTTTGGCATGGCTAGATCCTTCTCATCTCTCAGGCCTCAGTTCACATGTAACCTCCTCAGAGAGGGTCTAACTGACCACTCTAGCTAGAGGATGCCCCCTCATTCTTTTTTCTTAACTATTTTTTACCACAAGTATGACTTTGTCTGCATCCTTGCTTTGGTTTTCTCTGTCAACCTCACTAAAATGCGAAATACATGAAAGCAGTCATTGGTTTATCTTATTGACCATTGTGTATACCCAGCACAATATATGTACAAAATGTTTGTTGAAAAGAAAACCTGAAGGAACAAAACAGCAGCAGACTCACAGAACCCAAGAATGGACTAAAAGTTACCAAAGGGAAAGGGACTGGGGAGGATGGGTGGGAAGGGATGGATAAGGACAGGGAAAAAGAAAGGGGGCATTACGATTAGCATGTGTAATGTTGGGAGGGCATGGGGAGGCTTTGCAACACAGAGAAGACAAGTAGTGATTTTACAGCATCTTACTATGCTCATGGACAGTGACTGTAATGGGGTTTGTTGGGGGGACTTGGTGAAGAGGGGAGCCTAGTAAACATAATGTTCTTCATGTAATTGTAGATTAATGATTCCAAAAAAAATCTGTTGACTGAATGAACAGGATGAGTAAAAGAGTACATGTCCTTACTCTCAGAGGAATTCCAGTTTCATGGGTACACACATCTAATTGAATCTATGGCATATGGTCTATACTTTGAAGAGTTCAACCTTTGGCTGCTGGAGGGAGTCAGATAAAGATCTCAGTGAGGTAATAACAGTTGAGCTAGGACTCAAAGTAGGATTTTAAATGGGACAGGTACAGATGAGACAAAAGGGCATTCCAGGCTGAGGCTCCAGCTTCTGCAGGTGAATAAATGCATGGTGTGCTAAAAGAAAAGAGGAGGATTCTGTGTAAATGGAATGCAAAGGGGACCGATCCCCTGTGGATGGACATTGAAGTCACTTCCAAATTTGTACTGTTTTAAACAGTGCTTTGGTGAGCATCTTTGTACACATGTCTCTTGCACACTTATGTTAAATTTTATTAATATAAACTCCTAAAAGTGAAATGATTGGGATGAAAGGTCTGTGCAAAGGGATGAGAATGATAGGAGGGTGGGAAGGAACAAGTGAAGGTGAGAGGCAGGGGAAGAGAGCACTAGAGGGTTGGAGAGGGTCTAAGGGATGGGGAAGAGTGGCAGTGGTGGGGGTGGTTGTGGCACGAGGAAGGATGAGAAAGAAAGGGTAAGAAGGAGTAGGGAGTTTGAGGGTAAGAAATGGTGGTAATGGCAGGGAAGGAGAAACCAGGATTGGGAGGAAGAGCATGGGGGTAAGATGTGGAGGGTATAAGGGAGGTGAAGGGGTGAGAGGGTGAGAGAAGCTGAGGGATAGGAAAGAGCTGGGGGTTGATAGGGTGAGACTGAAGCGGGTAAGAGGGCTGTGAAGAAGACAGTGAGGGTCAGAGTGAGCAGGGGATTAAGGTGGGTAAGGAAGACAGGAATTTCAGAAAGCAGGGGTAAGAAGGAGGAGACTAGAGCAGCAGGAACATAGTGCAAACAAATAAGACAGGAAAAAAAGAATGTTCCTGGAGCTAAGGGTCCCAGTACCTCAGAGAACCATCTCCATCTTTTTGGTCCCAGAGTGCCAAGATGAGGCTCTGTTCACAGCCTGTGCCCCAGTCTCTGCAACCTGGACCCAGGGTCCTCCTACAGCCCTCACCCCAAACTGTGGAATCACCCCCTCTCCCACCAGCAGGGTCCAGAGGCCCCTGTGGGATTCTCTCTGGGCTCCTCCCATTCAGTGTTCCTGCTCCTAGGTGAGGAAGCCCTGTTGGAGGTCCAACTCTTCTCCCTGGCAACTGCAATTGGGATAAAAACAGGCTATAGTGGCTGGACACTCCCCTCATCTGCTCCAGGGACAGGGGAGGGAAATGGGAGCCGAAAAAGGGGTGGCCTGACAGTGGGAGTGCGGCCTTTCTCCTTAATTAGACGACCCTCCCTCAAGCCCCACACTCCCAGTCACCATGGCAACAAGTCGGTGATCAGATTGCCTGTGGAGGACACCAGGCCTGTGGGAGGTGAAGCAGGAACAGGCAAGGAGAAAATGAGGGGAATGGAGGAAGAACAACATGGGGCTGAGAGGTAATCCAATTCCTTGGCTCCATAGATGGCCAGCTGAGGTGATTGCCTCCTAGGTGGCCAGGGTTGGGGGGGTCCTTCTCAGGTGAAAAGTCTGGCCATCAGTGCTACCACCCAAGCAGCAAGCCTGCCTTAGTCCCTGCAGCCCTCTTTGCTAGAGGGGCCTAAGTAGCTTGCCCTGTCTTGTCAGAGTAGGGAGTTTGAGGGTAAGAAATGGTGGTAATGGGGGGAAGGAGAAACCAGGGTTGGGAGGAAGAGCGTGGGGATAAGAGGTGGAGGGTATAAGGGAGGTGAAGGGAGGTCAGGTTGTTTGGACAGTCACAGGGGGCCTGGGCAGTCATCCAGAAGGATGGGGAAGAGCCAGGAGAACCAGGGATAGGAGAGCTGTGGGACTCCCTGGAGGCGGGGCATGTAGGGAAAAGGAAACCAATGTCTCAGAACCAGACAACAGTCAGTTGGGAGACTCTTGGAGGTCTTTTGCTATAGTTTCTCAACTCTGGATGCATATTAGGATCACTCAGAGTCTTTCAAATATGCTCCTGCTTGGCCCACACCACACTGCAGACTAAGTCAGAATCCTTCTGGGAGGCCCACACTTCTCTAGCTCAG